AAATCCATAGATATGTTAAAAAAGACATTAGTGTGCTCTTCATGCAGAGGTTGGTAAATGACAAAAGGGGTTGACAGCCTTTCTTTCTTTAATTTAATCCCTAAAAGTTCTGGTTTATTTTATTACTGTCTTGCCTGATCCTGCTTATGTAAAAGTAGACTGCTAGACAAAGTTAACACCGAAAGGTAAAGGGAGATTGAATTATTTCATATGGAAATTTCAGCGGAATTAACATCCCTCTTTTGAAAACACGGTGGAGGGAAGCGCCAAAGGATTCAGTTGGGGGTAAGATAGTAATGCATCATCCATAAAAGAAAAAGGGAAGTATTAGCAGGAAGAGAAACTGAAATTGAGGGGGGGAATACTATACTGATAACATAAATGGGGAAATATACAAACAGTAGTAGTATGAACTAAAAATGCAGAATGTGCAGTATTTAGATTAAGAGAAAAAAATTGAAAGGGATGCAAAGCTGGAAAACCGACCTGCAATATTATACAGAAAAAGACAGCAGTTCATCTGCAGAGCTTACAGGTACACTGTGCCAATCCCAGTCACGGGGAACCTGAGCAGGTGCGAAAGTTACAGGTACACTGTGCCAATCCCAGTCACGGGGAACCTGAGCAGGTGCGAAAGTTACAGGTACACTGTGCCAATCCCAATAATGGGGAAACTGAGCATCTGTTCTTCATGTGAAAATTCTATCACTTTTCCACAGAACTGTATGTAAGGGATAAACCATGACAAGGTGTTTGGTTATACAAAAATTCAGCAACAGCTCAGTGTAATGTGTCCCAATACAATGCAGGGGGCTGTTAACCAAGTTGGAGTTGATTATTTTTGTATGATCATAAGGAAAATTATGCTGGTAAGAATGACTGCTTATTTATTAGTTAAAAGTCACACATGTTTTTATATTAACATGTTTAGAAGAACAATAAAACGCATCAATACTGAACTGTTATTAGGCGGCTGGAACAACCAGTGCGGTTACACGAAAAATAATCAATACCCACGTGACATCGCTGGACCAATAAGAAAATAGTATATACCAATTCTTGATATACAGTAAGAGCTCTTAGATATTTCCAATATTCAATATTTAATCTTATCTGTGAACAGGACAGACAGTTTCTTCATTCAGAATCCATAGATATTTCTTTCAATGCTAAGAAATCTTTTGACTTGATGGGTGGGGGGATTTCCTGACTATATCCATTCATCCATCTATCCAACGACTCGTGCCAATCCATGTCTTTGACTGCAGAAGGAATTACCATGCAACACAGATTTCACACACACTCTGATTTGAACCTTCAAACCTGGACAACAAGTGTAGCAACAGTGTAGCAAACAGTGTAGCAAACAGTGTAGCAAAATACCATTATGGTGCCAATATCAGATCATGCATACACATATGGCAATCTGATCCTAAACCAACAGTGATTACCAGTGGGTGTCACATTTCTATTTGCTTTTGTGTGGTACTGGACAAAGTGTGCTCATTCTAATCTCCTCTTCACTATTGCATTGGAGCTTTTACTCTCAGATATCAGGGTGCATTCTAACATTAGGCCTTGCACACTGGTGAGTGTCACTGAAGCATTGCTGCAGGGTCCTGAGTGGCACATCAGTTATAAAATTAATGTGCTACTTAGGATCCTGAAGCAATGCTGTTCTCTTCAGAGTAGGATTCAATACGAAATAGGTCCTAAGGGGGATAAGGTGTTTAGGTGCTGTCCAGTTTAATTATTAAAAGATGCTTTTAGTAATGGAAAATGAAAAAGCAGGTTTTTATTATGATTAGAATGTTCTTCCCCAGAGGGAATTGAGTCCAATCATTCCTGTGTTGTGCTGGAGAGTTTAAGAAGAGCAGCATGTTTCTTGGTAGTTGCTCTTGAATGAATGGTGCCTGCTAGTGGAGTAGTGGGTCTGTACGTAGGTCTACATGCATCACCTGTACATAGATGTCATATGTTAAACGTGTTTATGAAGATGATGTAATTGTCACTTTCATATGTTTTTGCTGTGAATGTACTAATTATTTTAGATTGCTAATAATTCGTAAGTGAAACTGCTTGTTAAACATTTAAAGCTGTAAACTCAAGTACTTTGACTATATTATAATTTGTATGTGTCCATTTATATAAGTTTCAGTCAGGGGGCTGATGTCACAATGTTGTTTTTATTCCAGTTTTACTTTCTTTCAGTCAACATTAAGTATGTGAACAGAGCTTAGACAGTGTGGTGATTGGAAGAGGAGTTAGCTCGTAGCAAGAGGCAAGGGCATAACTTTGGGTTGCACTTTTGGGGTGGGGTAGGTCCCATTTAAGGGAGTTCAGGGGGTTGTATTGGCTGGTTATGATTACAAATGTAAAATCCTTTTACACAGAGGAGTGATGTGCAGGCAGGACTGAAAAAAACATATTAACTGGCTAAATGTATTGCGAACACAGAGAACTCACTGTGCAATAATTTCAAATTGCCCTTATCACAAAGCTAAATGGTCACAGAATACAAAGAAGACTGGTTGTAGAGGTTTGTTGGAGGCCCAGGTAAAAAAAGGAGGCCAGACTTCATAACCAATAACAAAATAATACTCCTGGAATATGATTCTGCTACTAAAGCATAACCATTGTTTAGAACACAAATTACCCTGTTATTTAGTTTATTTAATCTTAAGCTTTCAGTTCTTGGCCAAAATGTCTGCATTGAATATTCTGGCCCATGCTGTGTGAGGATGATACTGTTTTCAGATCAGTCATATGGGGCTCCGCTGGTCATGGGATTATTAGCTAGGCTATTAGCTAGCTGTGTGTTATCTCTGCCTTCCTGTTGAGCCTTTGATCCAGACAGCCCAAGGCATAGCTGGGACTCATTTATATGCATCCATAGTTCAGCTTGGAGTTGACAGTGGGGAGTTGACATTGGAGAATTAAAAAGATAAATGTGTGGCATTTTTAGGCCTTACATACTGTAGCAAACACAATTTTTTCCTCTGTGCTGGTAACTTGTCAGAAGTCTTACGTTTCTAATCTATTTATTTAGTATTATTTAGGTTGGTAGTTTACGGTCAAATAAAAATGTTGAATGTAAGCCCGTGGATTAATAGCCTTAGCATATAGCTGTAGCACTAACAAAGGACCTGACATTAGCACTGCTTCACACTTCCAGAGTTTTGGACTCACACCTGTCCCCAGCTCCATGCGTAATGGGATCGCTTGCTCTTCTTGTATTTGTGAGGGTTTCGCGTCTGGCCTGGTTCTGTCTTAGGCCATAAACATATGTAGATCAGAAAATTGGGGTACTCAAAATGACCCTTTCCACAAGTGCCAATGCTTGGAATCTCAGTAGTGTTCTACATTTGCTTACAATCAGAAACATCCTTTCAAATTACAGCAACTGTAATTACATGGTAATTCGTAATGCTTCACGTACAAGTGACACATGTAGGACAGATAATGTCAGAAGATCTGTTATAGCTTCAGCTATAACTCAGCAAAGGCAGCCCCATAAGAGATTCAGTGTTTGTCATTATATCTGGCCTGTAACTGCAGCCTATTCATGTAAGATATTCATATTTTACAGATAATCACATGCAGTCAGATTTTGGGCAACTTAAATTGTGTTACTTTGCTAGGGAAACATATACATCATAATCAGAAAGATGTTTGATATATAATCACATTATCTATTCAAATGTCACAGTATCAGATATCACTGGATACCATCTGAGCATTTCGAGATAAGTCTAAAATGGTCCAGAGGATATGCAAGAACAGAAATAAGTTGCATGTTTATTTATAACTGGGCATGAAAATGCCATATTTATTTAATCTACCATATCACCTTATTCAAAGGCATCTGCATGTACTTATCAGAAATTTTCACCATCTCACCTTATTTAAAGGCATCTGCACATATATATCAGAGATTATTACCATCTCACCTTTTTGTTTATTTAATAGTAGTTGCATATACCAATCAGAGATGATCACCATCTCACCTTTTATTATGTAAAAGCATGTGTATATTTATCACAGATTATCACGAACTTGCCTTTTGTTATTTTTCCCATTATATTAGACTATTTTGTTAGAGCAGTTAAGGAAACGTGATCCAAGTAAGATGGGCTTTGTCATTCCCTGGACCAGGTAAAAGTAGTTTTGCCGCTCTTATTATTCTTGTCCAGCAGAGGGCGCTTTTCTGTTCATATTTACGGTTAGCATTTGGGCCATTTTGAACCCAAAACAATAAATCTGAATTGAAATTTAAACTTTGTAACTCTACATTAATTATACATACACACTATTTTACATTAAAACAAACTAATAAAAATTCTGTTATTTTTATTATAACTAGGAATATCTGCAGAGGTGTATGATCATTTGAGATGATGAAATCAGTGCAAAATTCCTCCAAAAGTTCACCTAATTTAGGTGCACCATATATAGTATTAATATATATGCCATTTTATATTACACACATGTATAGAACCTTCAAAATTAAAAGTACATTTGTCATGTTTTAATTGTTGTATGGTATGCCTGCTGACATTAGTATTTAGAGTATTTTAAAAACTCCAGAATATTAGTGAAAGTAAAATATCTGGATATATTTTTTATTTATTATAATAAGATACATTTAGTATAATGGTTTGTTATTGTGGAATTGGGGAACATTTCCTTTAGAAGATGAACATTTTGCCTTAAGATACTCTGCAATCATCCTTCAAATGTGGCCAAATATTTATGAAGGGTCATAAAATATAGGTCTAACCTTATTATTTATTGTGTAACAAACTTCCTAGATCTATATTTATAGTTTTATTATGTGTGGTTAATTTTGTTAGGCTAGGAACTGCAACATAATTTCAGTTAGATTATAATTTTGTTTTGTTCTCCGTAAAAAAAAACGAACTTGACACATATAAATATTAATTATGTTCTCAAACTTTCATCAACAAGGCTGATATTTTGTTTAATGTGTTTATCTCCAGGTTCCATATTCAATGTATCCAACAACAATTATTCTTCAAACATCACAATGGAAAAGATGTCATGGAGTTCCTACAGGACAATGGAGATGATCTTCATCGCTTTGGTGACAGGGTCCTTAAGCTTTGTCACAGTAGTGGGCAACATCTTAGTGATGCTGTCTATCAAAGTAAACCGCCACCTTCAGACTGTGAATAATTACTTCCTTTTCAGCTTGGCATGTGCGGACCTTATCATCGGGGTCTTTTCCATGAACCTCTACACTGTATACATCATCAAGGGCTATTGGCCCCTGGGGCCTGTGGTTTGTGACCTCTGGCTGGCCTTGGATTATGTGGTCAGCAACGCTTCAGTCATGAATCTGCTGATTATCAGTTTTGACCGGTATTTTTGTGTGACCAAGCCACTTACTTACCCAACAAAAAGGACAACAAAGATGGCGGGCCTGATGATCGCTGCAGCTTGGATCCTGTCCTTCATCCTCTGGGCTCCTGCTATCTTGTTCTGGCAGTTCATTGTTGGGGAGCGCACAGTTGATCCCAGGGAGTGTTATATCCAGTTCCTCTCCAACCCTGTTGTTACCTTTGGCACAGCTATTGCCGCCTTCTACCTGCCTGTCATCATCATGACTATCCTTTACATCCACATCTCACTGGCTAGTCGCAGTAGGCTGAAGAATCCAAAGGCTGAACCCAAGAAGGAGAAGGCCTTTAAGTCCACCAGCCTACTCAAAACCCACATACTAAAACAGAACAATTACTTCTCCAAGACTAGTACTGAATCAAGTACCACCAAGGTGGTAAAAAATGGCAAACTGAATGAGTCTGTGTGCATCAAAACCAATTCTACCATGCAGCCTGAGGGGAAGGAGAGCTCCAATTACTCCAGCATGGATAACATGGCGCCAAAGGATATCAAACAGAAGGTTCACAATGAGGTTTTGCCCAAGGATCTTGCTCCTACCTCAACCATCACACCATCACCAGTGCCTCATAAAATAAATCCTGCCTCCAAGTGGTCAAAGATCAAGATAGTCACCAAGCAGACAGGGAACGAATGTATCACTGCCATTGAGATAGTACCTCCCCACAGCTCTGAAAACAGTTCCATCCCTGTCAATCGTCCCAGAACAGTTGCCAGGAAATTTGCCAGCATTGCTAGGAGCCAAGTCAAACGAAAGCGGCAGATGGCAGCCAGGGAAAAGAAGGTAACTAAGACCATTTTTGCTATTCTGCTGGCTTTCATTATCACATGGACACCATACAACGTTATGGTTCTCATCAGCACCTTCTGCCATTCCTGTGTTCCCGATACTGTGTGGGCTATAGGCTACTGGCTCTGCTACGTCAACAGCACCATCAATCCTGCATGCTATGCACTCTGTAATGCCACCTTCAAAAAGACCTTCAAAAACCTCCTGATGTGTCAGTATAAAAACATTGGCACAAGATAAACTGAAGGAGGATCGTTTGATCAGGCTGGACGCAGTTATTGGTTTTGTGCTATGCTCAAATCCACCCAGAAGTGGATCTAATTGTCAACTAGAAATTCTGGAGGTCATTGGGCCCCAAAGTGAACCATGGGATTAGTTGTAGTTAGACATTTTGGAAATGTCCTGTGGTTACTTCCAGAGCCCCAGAAATGTAACCACCGTTGTTGGATTACTGAGTAAGCATGTATAATAATGTTACAAATACCAGAAACAAAGCACAGTCAAGTAATGGGAAGAATTCAAGTGAGAGCCAAGTGAAGTATCATAATAACACGACTTTCTGTGAGTCATTAGCTTTAAATGGGAATGATGCAAAGCAGGAGACATTATATGGATTTATTGTATGGATCTATTCCCATAATCCTCTGTGCCACAGAACTCAATAAAAAGAATGAATTGTGTGTAATGAACAATCAATTTTTCCAATATGTTCTGCTTATTTATTCCATTTTAGGAAATTGTTTTACAGGAATATTCTTTTTATGACATAATCAGTTAAAAAGGGAAGGGAATCCTTAGTTCTGTCAGATCTATTCATTTAGTGATGGACAAAATGATGTTTCATGAACCATTTGCTGTTTTATACACTCCATTAGATGGTGCTCTCTATTCAAAAAAGGGCACAAAGCATGCCCCAAAGCAAGCCAAGAGCACCATCTAGTGGGGTCAAAAGATACAGCAAATGGTTCATGAAGCGTCATTTGGTCCATCACTATTCAGTATTACATGGAGACCATACAACACTATGATTCTTCATGATACCTTCTGCCATTCCTGTGCTCCTGACACTGAGTGGGCTATAAGCTACTGGCTCTGCTATGTAAACAGCTTGTAAAAAATGAAAGAGCTGTAATATTTCAACATCTATATGAAGAAAAGGGTGAATTTTTCATCAACCTATCAGACCTTTTAAAGCACTTCAAGTAGACAATGATTTTTGGGCCAAGAATTTATTATGACTATATATAAAAATATATGCTATTTTTTCTTCTAAAGAAATGGAAGTGACAAAATTCATTTTAATTTATATTTTATGCTCCAACAAATATAAACACTGGGAAAGTATATGAAAAGTATGTTTCCAGAGTGATGAAGAATGTTTATCTGCATTACAGTATATAGATGATTGTACTATCTGGTTTATTGTAATATATTAATTTTCTCTGTTTATTGCTGTATATATGCAAACAGTGTTATTAGATGCACTGAGTACTTAGACAATAACCGTAAACACATTCTTGTTATTTTTATAGTTAAGGGACAAATATTGTGTGATCACTGATTCTGCATGTGTGCAATTTTATGACATTATAGTGTCAGCATCTGTCATTATTCTCATCGCTTTGCCTCATGGCCCCAGAGGAGCTGCTGGTATTACTGCGAAAATGAACGTAACACTTAAGTTTTGATGTGAGTAAAATGTATTATCATTGTTGTCATACTGCATGTTGCTTTTAAATGAACTGCTGTGTTTTAGAGAAATGGTTGACCCCTGGAACACATTAAATTCATAACATGAGATAATCATTTTGTTTAGACACATTTTATAAAGTTTTTCTTGAATTATATTCACTTAATTTGTAATGGTTTATATCATTTTTTGCACAAAAAATGTGTTGTTGATGCATAACTGTTTCTATATAGGGTCTGACAACAATGCTTCCTTGTTCTTACTGTTGTCTGGATCCTGTTCTTACCTTTTTAAAGTTGTTCATCATAATTAAATAATTATAAAGCCTGGAAATATCTTGTATCATGACAGCATAAGCCTGAAGAATGTTGTTTTTAAATTACACATAGTATTACATTCACTGTAAATTATATTCTACGTAGTGCAGATTGATGAAATGGCAAGTGATGGCATTTTTTCTAGCACATACCTACTTATTTCATGAAAACATGCATGTGAAAGGACAGAGTATGTGATTAAATAAAACAAATAAAACAACTGTCTTTTCCATGTGAATTGCAAAGAAAACGATGCTAAGCTACATTTGGCAGAAGCTCTTAACATTTGGTTTAAGGGGACAAACTCAACAACTACATGTCCATTTCACAATATGATGGACAGCATCATGTCTAAAATAGCACAATATGCATATGAATTGTTTACTTTGACAGAACAATGAAAATGTATTGAAATCAGTAAAGCTAACAGTTTAGCCATGCTGGTGTTTATAGCAATGCAAATGAAACAAAACCAAAATGTCAAAAGGCATCCAAAATTCATTTTATTGCTGCAACAATGTTTTGTTCAAAACAAACCTCATCTATTATAATGCCAACTACAATTTGTGACTAAGGTTTCCCCACGAAAAAATAAAATTCAATTGAACATTGAAACCTATTTTTTCATATAGAAATTTCACGTCCAGGTCAAATCACCTTTTGCTGGAGTTGATTGGATCCAAGTGAAACAGGCAAATTAACAATAGCATTTATCAAAATGAAAGGGGGTACAAGCAGATGGTGGTGTGTGCACTGGGTGCTGTAAATGCCTTGATTTTTCAGACTCTAAGGGCCCCCGATATAGTTCAGTAAAACGTTGGTTGCAGTTCATCTTTAGTTGATCACACCTAGAAAGACGCTGAAGGAGGAATGAGCAGAGCCACTAAAATACATAAAAAACAATTCCGTTATAAAAGCCTTGCCAAGATCTCTGTGCTTTTTTCCAACCCCGTTTGTAGTCTGAGAGACGGAAGCTGGTCATGGTGGGTCAAAAGCTCGGTGGGGGGGGGGTCTGGAAAAGGCATAGTGTTGCTCACACCCCTGTGACCCTGAGCCTCTTCAGTTCTCCTTCCCTTTTCCCTTCTTTCCTGTAACAAAGAGAATGAAAGCTCATCATCTCCACCCAGAACGCACCAGATTAAAAGAAAACGAGACCACGGCAGACAACGGGATTTGGATGTAAAATAAAAATGAAAGTAAAAAAAACGGCGTGACATGACTAAGCCAGTATACACACAGAAAACATGACCATCTCAGAATGCATAATTTGATTTAATTCAATAAAATGATAATGTGAGCAGAACAACATAATATGAATACAGATATATGATACAAATGTAATTTTAACCTGCAAAGTTAACATTTTTTTCTTGCAACAGTTATGGAACTGGAAATACAAAGAAATTACTTTGCTAAAGCAGCAACTATTCATTTTTAGAGAAAAAGAGCAAATCAAACTTGGTACAGCCAACCTTTGACCTTCGTCTTGGCTTTGCCATTTGCTGAGTGGCAGGGTTTGGACACCTCCCGGGTTGCCAGGCACTCTGCATTGTACAAGGCCTTCTTCAAGGTGCCAACCCGATTCTTGGTCCCAGTAGTGGAGTCACACTCCCCCCAGCTCCCAAATCTGTACTTGCAGTCAGCTGTGGGTTGCGAGTAACCAGGAGAGAGTAATGAGAGACTCCACAATGGTGATGAGTTTCCTACAATTGGTTTACTTTGTGCTGCATGAATGATGATGATGTGGAAACACAGCAGACACCTACACCAATCATTCAGCTGCTTTAGTCTTAAAGAAGCTCCAGTGCCAAACAGGAACCACATAATGGTTCATTAGCCAACATCAGCATCATTATGAAGACCAGTATATAAACAGTATGTAAACAGGGTATTGTCCCTGCCTGTCTGTAAACTCTGGCATGTGAACTTGTACTTCCTGTTTAAGCTTGTTGGATGATTACAGGAATATACAAATGAACTGCTTTGGTAACACTTTACTCAAAGCAGCCATACACAGGTAACTGCATTACAGATACCTTCATAATACATTGTAACGCATTCAGAAATATTATGCGACTGCTTTAAGTAAAGTCTTACCACTGTGTTTAAATGTAGTGTAGTGTATTGCAAAAGTATTCATGGAAGTATTAATAGCATTAATATTTCTCGACAAAAACATGGCACAAGAACAGCACAGCATGAAAGCCCCATGCACTATGGCTGTTCAGTTCGAAGTTTAGGTTGCTAGGCTAGTTTGCAGCAATGCAACCACCTTAACAAATAACAAACAAAAAGGAAATAAAAATCTCAGTTTGGCTGCTGTCGATCGGCTTACCACCAAAGTCCTTCTTCCATCCACAGGGCACATGGCATTTGAGCTTCTTGACTTGGAGGTTGCAGGTGCCCTCCCGCATACCCGTCCCACAGTCACCGATGTTGGGCACACAGCTTCCATACTGCCATTCTGTGCATTCAGAAGCTCCCTTCTGTCCTGTGGGCACAGATACGGAACAGCTGAGGGCCACCTGCCAATCCAAATGCAGCCTTTGGCGATTACTCAGCATAAAAGGATAGGCGAGCTAAAAGAACAGTGGCACGCCAATCAGCCATCATAGTGTACCTTTCTTTCCCTTGCCAGCTTCTGTGGAGATGACCATCAGGGCCAGGAGAAGACTGACGAACAGGGAATACAAACCATGCATCCTGAAGAAGGGAACAAACAGGACAGTGAGGGGGAGGAACACAGACTCTATTTCCCCTCTCACAATTCTTAAAAATGTTTATAAAGCAGACATTGCTGAAAATACTGACCCTTGTCTACTGCACACAGTAGTAATGCTACAGAATATGAAATCCTGCATCTCAATGCATCTTCACTCATTTGTATGAGAACCATTTAAACCAGCTGCTGCATAAAATACAAAATATACATATATCTGTGAAACGATTCTCTTAAACCAGGGGTCACCAACATGGTGCCCAGAGTTCCCCCGAGGTCCACCTGAGTCACCCGTGGACCTGTTCTAAAAATAGCACAACTCACCAGTGAGCAGAGTCTAAAATTTAAATTTATCCTGTTGCTATTCTTCTTTAATCACATTTGCATTTAAATAGATTTGAAAATGGAAATATCTAAAAAAAGCATTTAAAACATGTTTATTATACATGAAGTTTAGATAAGTTTAGGAGGGCGTTTCAAACTGGTAGCCCTTTGTATGGCTCAGTACCCGTGAAGTAGCTCTCAGATTCAAAAATGTTGGTGACCCCTGTCTTAAACCATGTCAAATGAAGACTTTCATTTAGAAGCAGAGCTGAAACATGTTAAAATGACCAAAAATCCCATGATACTTGAAGCACAGAAGGCTTCCACATTCAGCAATTATATTGCGTCAGCACGCTGGTCTGTTTATACCCCAGGAGGATCCTGGTTTCCGGTTCACAGTATGCTACACTGTCAGTAAAGCAGAGAAGGAGTGCATTCAGGCCCAGGATTTTAGTGGACTGAGTCTGGTTTGAACCACAAAACACTGGTTGGTATTTGTTACCATGCAACAAATACAATATTTTGTATTTTTCGAATACAGTTTGATTTTTGTTAGCAAGATAGCCAAGCGGTTAAAAAGATCAATTAAGATTTTAGTTCAAGATCTAGTCACTAAACTGACATCAACTGAGATAGGTAATTCTTAAAGAAGTGAAACATAAAGATGTTATGCCAGCTGAAATTGCTTTGTTTCACTTCAGTCTGTTTGTGGGCCATCAGCCTGTGTTTGCAGTACTGTTGCAGCCTTGGGATACACAGACATCGCGTGAAAGGCTCTTGCTGGTTTGTCTTCATTATAATGGTGTTAAGCTGTGCATTTGTAACTGGTCATTCACTGGAAGCTCTATGCTTGGTTGACTCCTCGATAGCACATGTTTGTAATGTGCTATTTGCTTACTTGTATGTCACTTTGGACAAAAGCATCTGCAAAATAGAACTAAAGGTAAAGGTAGTGCTGTATTGTGATTCTTGAATTATTATCAAGTATTTATTGTGGATATAGGGCTGGTCAATCTCACAGGCAACATAGGCGGCTTCCTAGGGTACCAACTTGCCAGCCAATTTCACTTTGCCTCAGCCAGGGGGCACCAACAGTGATACTCGCCTAGGGGGCCACATCGGCTATGACCTGTACTGCGTGGATACAACTATAACCAGTTAAAATAAAATATCGGCATATTTCCCACCACTACTGTATAGTGTAATCCTTAAATAAACAGGTTAATACTCACATAAAAGTAAAAGCTCAAATCACTGGCACTAAAAATCACTTGAAACACTTCAACACTACAAACATGAAAAATCAGACCATACTGTTGCACTTGCACCAGGCCCTCCTCTTAAAAGCATGTATACTGGCAAGACATTTCATGTCATGGTCACTGGTGGCTAAGCAACGTGAACTGGCTTCACACATCAAAAGGAAATCGTAATATGGTAGCCCTTAAAAGCACTGCACACAGTTAACAGCCACACTCTGGCAAACGTGGCAGGGACATGCAGGGAGGCTGGATGCCGGACAGTTAGGCACATAAACAGTGGATCGTCTCGAATTGAAAATCTCACTCCAGCCAGCTGGCCAAAGTTGGCAACCCAGCGTTTTATTTGAAATGAAGTAAAATGCGCTGTTTTCCCCAGAAACGGTTGTCACGTGACAATAAATATTGTCAAAAAGTTTTTGAATTGTACTGAATTAATTTGATTTGACAGTTAGGTATTGATTACATGCAATGTTGATACAACTAATCGGCTACTTAAATATATATCACACTAAATATTTAGACATTATGATCGTCCAGACCTTTGCTTCAAGAAATGTGAAATTTTAGTTAACAGACACTGGCATGGCAGGTTCCTCTGTTCCCTTACGTGGCTCAGAGGAACCCTGCTGCCCCTCCTGCTGCCCCTCCTGCTGCCCTGATTGGGTGGCCTCCCACAGCCGCTCCAGGTTCCGGTGGCACTGGCCACACTGCTCCTCCAGCTCACAACGCTCCTGAACCAGCTGGGCCTCCAGTGCGTGGCACACCCCCTCGCAGTTGAGCAGCGCAGCCTCGGCCTCCTGCTCCTGCCGGCCGCGCCCACGTTTCCACTCTGCCAGCTGCTTGCACAGCTTTTCCACAGTATGCCACCCCTTTTCCATGTCCTCTCATAGTCACTCCTTGTCTAGCTCATGGCGCTCCTGGGCCCGCTGGCTAAGACGTGACACATCTCCTGGCGGCCAAGCAGCACCACTTCCTGCCACCTCTGGGTGTCGCTCTCCTGCTCCCAGCTGGCCAGCTCACCACGCCGGTGTTGCCACTCGTGCCATTCCTGTTCTGCAGGTCCTGTTCCCATTGCACATCCAACTCACATCACTCCTGAGCCAGCTGGAACTTCCAGCTGCAGCAATCCTCCTTGAGGCCAAGCAGAACAGCCTCAGCTCGCTGCCTGTCGGTCACCCTTACAGCTGGAGTCGTGCCACGGCTCCTTGCAGCTGGAAAATGGAGAGCTCTTGATGTCCGGTAAGCACTCGAGGTCCGCAGTAGTGCCTTTGGTCGCTGAAATAATCTCAGATGGGTGACCAGTGGCCTGGCAGGGTAGGCTTGAGGACACACTGCACTGACCCGGGCTTCAAAAGGATGGAGCAGTGACCTCCTCACTGTGCCACTCTCAGCCCGTCTGCTAGCAGCTCTGGTATGGGACTCTGGGTAAAATCATGCCCGGTAGCCCCTCTCTGCAGCACCAGCAGGTGAGCTTCCCTTCGCGAAGCCTGCCTTCCCGAGCCGTCTTCACCACTAAACTGCCATTGCCGCTTCTCTTGATCCATCGCTCCACAGCCTCCTGCACATCTGTTAGGCTGGAGCGCACTTGCTGAATGACATTTTGAAGAACCCACTCAAGCAGCATCAGTGGAACTGCTTCAGTCATCCCACTTGGCAGACCGAGGCATCGCAGCAGCAGAAAGGAGACAAAGCAAGATGGCTCCAAATAAAGCAGCTGTTTTATTGTAGCCCCTAAAAGGACTGCATACAATTAACAACCACACTCCAACAAACATGGCAGGGAATTGCTAGTAGTTTACACAATGAATAGAGGCACCTGAGAAGACAGGATTCATACAGGACACAGGCAAGGGTACATATAACTATGGGAAGCACCACAAGAATTTACAATAACTATTACGTTCAGGGGCTATTTACATGGCTTGTGCGCTTGTTGAGATATGCAATATCTCCTCAACTCGGAGCCACCTCACCAGAATTACAATATACTGGAACAGGCATTAAAGGCCAGCATGACTCATTTGGTTTAGCTCTGCTGGCTTAGATCTCATTGGTACAGACAGCATGTACTAGGTTCAAAGCATGCTTTGAATGGGCATGTTGGATAACACTATGAACAGGGAGGAAACTAATGACATAACATTTTCCAATAACATTTTTTCTTTACATTTCACTGACAAAAACATTTTGCATTCACAATTCAACTTATGCCATGCTGTCTTAAACTTTCCAAAGTGTAGAATTTATTTTAACTTATAATGGGGAATTATGGTTATTAAAGGAAGACATCGGAGTGATAGACGGTCCTCACAAGATTAAAAACACTGGCATACACACTTATAGCCAGAAATAAAACATTTTAAGTGGGAGGGGGAAATACACATCTTAAATAATGTCTGTTAGTCAGTGCTGGAGTATCAAGACTTACTCCCACCATGCTCCGTACCATGTTCCACACAGAGTAAGTGTCATTCCCGCCTCATATACTGTATGTAAGGCTTAAAATATGAAAGGAGCTCAGCTACGTAGGACAGGTCCTTCGAGATGCGCAATGTAAAGTGCTGTATCAGCCCTCACTGTGGAATTCCATTACTCTGAGATCTACATGCGATGTCAGACCAGGCAAAGAGTAAGATATGGCCAGAGCTATAGCCAATGACTTTGACCACCTATTAAGAGAACCCTGCACTACACAGTAGAACTCATAACTTAAAAAATGTAATAAAATTCTCTAAGTGTAATCCCATCCGGGGTGTCCCCTCCCTTGTGCTTCCTGAGATTCTATGCTCACCGTGACCTAGTACTTCATGCATTTGAGTGCAGGTCATGTAGTGATCATGCACCCCCCATTCGGGTCCTGACACACACACCCAACATGATGATTAACAATGGTAGGTTTAAGGCGAGTGAGTAAAATCAGCACTCTGCAACATCTGTCTGAAATATTCCCTGCTGGAAGGAAACCACGGAAACCACTTCAATAATCGATAAGTGCAGTGGAAGGCTGCAACCGCCACTGCACAGTGGACTCAACATGCAAGAAAGAAAAATGTTAAGCTTCAAATACCGACTAGTCTTTCTCCTGAATATTAAATTACAGCATAAAGTACAAAGGACAAAAAGATCTTGATTATAAAGACTTCCATGTACTTATAGACTGTCACACCCTGCTCATCTGACCCCCCTGATCTCTCCCTAGCGCAGCCTAATCAGCCACACCTGTTACTCGTTGGTCTTACCTCACATTGCTGCCCTAGTGTTAATCACTCCAGCTGCCACTTGCTCACTCCCTCGTTAGTTATGTATATAAATGCTTCCCAGTCCTGTCATTAATGTTGTTCTACCATGCCCTTCCTTCCTTCCTTCCGGTTTTGATCTCCCAGGACCATGTTATTTTATGACTGTTGTACAGACATAGTGTCACTGGTGGACCATGGACTATGGAACACAGAAATATCCCACTAATTGATTACTTCATGCTGTGAGAGTCTGGAATTCATGTGGGTAGCATATTTGAAATTGTCAAATATTCTATATCAAATATTTCTCCCAGTACAAACTGACATTAAATTAAGTCAATTCCATGTATACTCTAAAAGCTATTATCAGCTAACTTCTGCAACTGTGCGGCAAAACCAGAGTGTATTTACATTTATTATTTTTATAAGTCAAAAGGCATAATGAAAATAACATTTTTATGATAGTACTCACAACCAGTTCCAAAGTCGCACAGATTTTTGAGCATGGAAAAAAAAACCAAGATGAAGCCAAGATTGTGTTCTGCATATGAACAGAACTGCTTAGTAGAACATTTTGATAGGTAGCATATTTCGAAAGAACACCCTGTTGACATATTTATTCTGTGGAAAACGAAAGATTGATCTACAGGCCAGATTTAATAGTGGATTATAAACCTGCAAGGGCCGATACTTTGAGACCTGCCTTTCTTCTCCACACTCTATCTTCCCCACACAACCTGGAGGTAACAATATATCTTTTGAATGTCATGTCCATGGCTTTCCCAGATGTGGATCCTGAAGTTATAAAATGTGAGTCATAATGTCCAAATAGTCAAACCTATCCTTGTTATGGAGGTTGTCTAATGTACCAAACTTAAGATAATTTACTGTTATACTGTATGGGCTGCATTTAGTATGCCTAATAAGCTTTTTTTCTCTCTAGCATCCTGCAGGACTTATTATGAAACTGTTCGAAGGAGTTACAGGATGACCCGTTGAAGAATATTATGAAGAATGAGGAGGGCAGGATCATCCCTTGCATGAGACTTTTGACAAGCTGAAAAATACCTTGTGGCCCAATGTGTTAAACGTAAATGTTGCCTTGCAAGAATCCGAGTCAGAACTCGGATGAAAACGTCACGAAAAACATCACTTCCCATCGGAAACACGCCTCCTTTATGATGCTGAAGTTGGGCAGAATTTTGTTGTCTGAGTTTCCCCTGTGACGTAATTTTTACATGGCGGCTTACACAGTCAACAGTAATTCTATTTTATAAATCTTTTAAAATGTTTATTTTGTTAAATGTATTAATAGTTATAAATGTAATTGCACATGTTCGTTTTAGAGAATACCATATCATGACCGTAAACAGTATCCTATCATGCAATATCAGATTTTTACCAGACTTGTTAGTGTCTTTTGTTTGTTTGTAGTTTGTTTGCCTCTCGAAAAAAAAATATCGCTATGAATGTACTAAAATATTTTATAAAGCTTTAAATGTGTTTGACTAGTTTGTGTTTTTTGTTTGTTTGTCTCTTGGAAAAAATTATCGCACTCCAAATCTGCTAAAATATAAAGCAACAACACACAGCAGCGTGTTCATGGAGGCAGCCATGTTTGTTCCGAGATGTGATAGCTTGAACGGGAGATTGTCGGACGTGATGTCACTCACATAGGAATTTCCGAGTTTCGAGAGATAATCGAACGCAGCATAATTCCCCATGGTAACTAATGGCTCTAGGCAGGCAACCCAAGGTGTGAAATGTAAATGTTCCCTTGCAAGCACCAAGGGGAAAGGCCCCCAAACCTGGTACATACTGTATACAGGAGAATCCAGGACTGCTAACTCCCAGATTCACATGATTATTTTTGGAGTGTCAGGCAGTATACAGGAGAATTCCAGTCGTATACAACTTCTTTCATGGAGGAGTCATGAAAGCTTTGCATTCAGAGCTGTGGAACCCTGCCGAGACTCCCCTAATCCTTTGGGAGGAAACACAGCAAACGAATGCCCAAAGTATGAAGTTCAGGAGCAACAGACAAAGAGCACACACCACCCACTGACTAAAGAAGACCAGGGCAACAGAGAGAGATGGAGCTCCTCAATGGGTTTCCAATGATGAATACTACATTCTTCATGGCCTGTGCTGATCTGCTTACGGTTGCCACAAGATCCAGTCCAGATACCGTTTCAAGAGCCCAGAATGCAGTGTGTATGTGTATGTCAATGGGGATCGACAAACCAAGCTGCTGGAACAAGTGGAGGTGAAAACAGTTAACGCCCTGTGAGGAGGAGAGCCCCCGCCATTGTAGCCTTGTTAAACCACTTCAGTTTTATTTGTCCATTCAGTGCTTTAATACAAAGAACTACTCAGGAACCTTAGTGCTGATCAAAACACATAGTATTAGTTACCATACCTAGTTTGACAGCATTGGGTTTAAGATGGTAGTGCTTACCACCTTAAAGGAGGGGCCTGTTTTCCCACAGCAAATGGCCACAGCATCAAAATTAGGAGGTTTGCATATTAAAGCCTTACCCCCTACTGACAGCAGCAGATCTGCCCCAGGGCTGCCAGTAATGCTTTGAAAAAAGCCAAATCACTGCTCTGTGGACCATACATCAAAAAAAACAGATCCTGTCAAGGACAAGTGATGTGCATGAATGTTCAACCAAAAACTAACCCTAACTCCAAAACAGCTGATGTTATTTCATGTACAGACAGTTAATAATCAAATGTGGAATATAATTCATTTCTTTGGTAAGTCCCCAAGCAGGGGGCTGCCAGACCATCCTGAGGACCAAACTAAAGCCAGGTATGAGATTAAAATTTTGCCAAGAGTTTTAAAACAGACCTGCCCCTAGGAATAAAGGTCAGTAAATAATACTGCGGCTTCTGTCTCAAAATCATGGACAGAAAGTCATTTCCCAGCTAAAAATACAAGAATTGGGAATTAAATACAAATCAATTAAAAAAAAAAAAAAAAAAAACTTAAGACATGGTGTTTTTTATGTAACACTATACCTGATGGGCACAAATACTCAGTAATACTTCAGTCACTACTGAAGCACAAATTTACGAACAAATCATGAACAAATATAGTTGCTACTTGAGATAAACGATGCGTCACTATTCATTAATGAACAAATATGAGGTCAGTATTTCTTTATTTACCTACCTATTCGTTATTTATTGTGTCCTTAAGAAGTTTACAAAATTTCACAGAATTAACAATTTAAAGTAACCAATAGAGTAAATGCATTATAAAATGTGTCATGATTCATTAATGATGAATTAATGATGAATCCGTATGTAACTAAGACTTAGTTTGTGGTTAATTAATACATAAGTAATAGTATATATCATTTGCGCCCCGTCAAGAAAAGCGTTACCGCATTCATGCAATTCCTAGCATCAGCAAAACTTTTCTGGACATAATCGAAACGGTAGCTCTGCTTCCTTTTGCTTTTCCCTGCATTTATTCTATTTTTCCTGCACTATCAAAACATTATACCAGAACAAATAATCAAGTCATAAAAGAGTCATAAAACTATTATAAATAAGGGTTGCTTAACTTACTTGATTTCTTGCAACCGTATTTCGTGTTTCTGAAGAACTTTAATTAAAAGTTTGCCGTCTGACCCACTTGAGACCCTTGTTCGCCACACTAGCCAACACACGAGTCCTTTGTTTCTCAAAACGAGTCTGAACTGGTCAAATATAGACATTTTAATTAACCTCCGGATGACATCATTCCTCCACGTGACGACTACTTAAACTCTTTCGCATATATTATTATACACCGTCTGAATACTGGTTAGTGTTAAGCACTATATTTTTTCCCTTCAATTGTTCTTATTTTAAATATCCATTGTAAAATTTCTGCAGTAATAGGAAGAATGTTAAAAACTGATCAAATATAAATAATATATCTTATTTCTATGCTATGACACTGAATATTAGTACAGTTTTTATTGCAACCACGTACTAGTACTTTATTAATGTACTTTTTACAGTTCTTGCAAGTCAGGATTGTTTTTATGCTTGCACGCCTTACAGTATTGATCAACGGATTTACGGGAAACTGTAATATTCGATAATCCAACTTGAATAGGATCATGTTTCTCTCACTTTCCAAACACCTGGAAAAAGAGATGCATGGGACTCCATTCGCAAAGTCGTTTTAAGCTTAGCATATTAACATCACCAGCTATTAATCAAATATCAGAAAAGTTTAGAAGAACACAGGTATTACATGAAGATGAATGAAAAAAAAAACAAATTCTCAGATTTGAATTAAACTTAATTACTTTTTTACTAACGTTTCAGCAAATCTGCATTTCAGATTTAAAAGTATAATTCATATCCATTTCTTTTTGTGATAAACAAAAGTTTATATTGGATACATCATAAGCTTTGAGCCAAAGACCTAAGGTCAGTAATAGCTGTCACATCTAGGCTACACTGGTTCAGGTCTGCCCCTAGAGTTCCCTTGCCTCAGAAATTGATTGATTCACTCTTTACCCATGGTATTCGTGTAGCACCTTGTATGTAACAGATACACTGTGCTTATGCAGTTTTTAACCCTACCTCTGCTGTGTCTGTGTGTCCAGTTCACATGCTCTCCCTGTTTTGTACAGGTTACCTCCAGGTACTCCATGATTCTTTTAGTGATAAACAAAAGTGTATAAAAATAATTGATACTTTATAAAATTGCATGAATACAAGTAATAATTGGTACTTTTACTGATCCTTATGGGGAAATTATCTTTATGCCTCCCCCAACTTGCTCTTTGTAGGCAAGAGTAAGTTGGCCGTGAAGGGCTGCCCCATGTAGTGGTTCCCAGCAGGCCTTGCCCAAGGACCCACAGTCATGCCAAAGCTGGGTTCGAACTGGCAACCTTCTGATCACAGGCACAGCCCACTGAGCCATGTACTGCCCTCTATATTGAGTTTGCCATTATATTGGGTTCACGATTCAATGTTTATAATGTTACTTTCGGATTTTTCAGGAGATGGCAATGAAGTTAATTTATGAATATATCCACCTGAGACCCAAGGAAAAAAAGTGTCCTTCAGTTTTAGGTTAATTGTGATTTTCTATGTCTTTGCAGGAAATAAGACATCTTTTTTCAAATTTATTTTAATTTTTAATTACACAGCATGTCCTCTTTAGTGAACAACAGGAATAAATATGTTTCCTTACATCAATGAAAAGATATATGCAAAAACAAAATGTCCACTACAATGGACATAAATGAATGGGTGGGGTCTCCGGAGGATATGGTCCATTGAAACCTGAGTTGTATATAGTACCACTCAAAAAACCCATGGCCATAAAACATGCCAATTTCACACATTTCCTCCAGTGATTAGCACTTTTTGGTTCCCCCAACATTGCTTCTGTAAAACAAAGGAAAATCACAGCTGATTGCAAAGGATGTGCAACCTAAAGGAACTAAACAAATATATGGAACTTGAACTGGAGTGGAATTTCTCTCTAGATGAGGTTGAGAAGCATTCATTACAGTCATTCTGCCACTGTTGCTTCTCTAATGACAGAACTGAGGAGAAAGAAAATTATCACTTCAGCAGCATGCTGTTATTTGGAGGGAATTGGCCCAATAGGCCCCATGAGGATTCCCAGGACCTTGGGAACACATCACACTTTCCAGAAAACATGATAATGTCTTGATGGGCACATGACTGCACACCCTATAATTGCCTGCTCTTTGTATTCTGCTCTTCCTACATAATCGGAGGTGGCTAATGGCCATGTGGGATGTGCCCGTGGAACAGCTGTGCTTTTGACTGGTGTCATGAGAAATACAACACTAATGCTTAGTTGGGGACATTTTTGTGCCCAGATTAGTATGATGATGAGTAAAAACGAATTATAGTTACGCCTCCAGAAATTACAATGACTTCTAATGACTCCAACAATGCCTTTCTTATCATTTGTCAATGATTGCTTTCTTATTATTAGTTATATTTAAGATAACTCAGTTGTTGTACTATTACTTTTCTCCTATTTCACTAAAATGAACTTGAATACTTTTAGTATTTGTATGTTTGATGTTTGTATGTATTGAGATTGGGTAATTAGCAAAGCTTAATCAATCAGTCTGATAATTATGTAAATGCCGTGTGTAATCCTCATGTTCAGCAAAAATAGCAAACAAGTACGTGACAGGAAGGGGATGGGAGGAAGGAATGAGAGCTATGTTTGGGTGCAGGAGTATACATGGGTTTAACCAAACAGGGTGGAGGAATGCACATGAAAGATGGCCATTTTGGCTTCATCACAAGGGAAACACGCAGGACAACAAAACAGACATCAAGCCATGGAAAAAGCCATGGCGGGGTATGGGCTCAGCAATCCAGGTCTGGGGGTAGAGTGCAAAAACATAATCCAGTGTGATATCATGTGAATAAGTGTCCTTATCACTCTGGGACGTTCACACTGCCATATAAGCTATACAAAAAATCAATTAGTCATTGTCACACCCTGCATTCCTTTCCCCTCGTTCTCTCTGTTATTATTTGTTTCATCTTTCCTCTCGTTACAGCTCTTGTGTGGATCTTGGTGCCTCTCGTCTGCTCCCTCGTCAGTGGTGTGTGTATAGTGCCTCCCTGTCTTGAGCTCCCCAGTCTGGCCATTGATGTTGCTGCCTGCCTGTGCTCCCCAGTTTGCCCTGTGTCCTGGCCTAATCCTTCTTACCCTGTTTCGATCCCCCCCCCCGGTCCCTTTCCTTTTGCCCTGTGTGTAGTTGTGTTTTATAAACCCCCTTTTTGCTTTTCCCCACGCCTACCTTTGCCTCCATCTTCACCTGTAACGTGACAGTCAGGGAATATCTTGCACAAAAACAGTTCATTGGATAGCAGTAATCAAGTAAAAATTAGGTAATAATTTTCCAAGATATTCATCATCTTATCATGACTTGTACTTTCTGGTTTTATGAAAAATTGCATACGACTTAACTAGACAATTGCACAGTGTAAGGAATTAGCTTTTCTTCACTGTCCAGATTGGACGTTGTGCAGAACAGTATACCAGTACAGTGATTCTGGGAAAATGGACAAAACCATAAGGCATGGGCTGCTTTTTACCCCTAGATCTTACTTGTTATCTTGGGCTAAAGACTTCTTCATTAAATAGACTGAACAAGGGGAAACAAATCCCTACTGTTCATGTAAGCAATGCAGAAATAAACACCCTCAAAACATATTTAACAATACTTCCTTTGAAGACAAGTTCCATTGTCTTAGTATAGACACCAGGAAGCAGCCTTTGAACTTGACTATGGAACTGCTTCCTAAATATATCCTGGCATGGTAGATTGCCTGTGCAGTGCAGCCTTGCCCTAAATGATGCTGTCTGCTTGCAACCACTCTTTGGTGAGCTGATCTTCCTGATGTTCTACAAAGTGAACTACAAGACTGGGGGACAGATGCCATGTGGTCAGAAAAAGATGGCTGGTCATCTATCATTACCCATAGAGTACAATGGAGACAATGCTAATGATCCAAGTTGTCCACAATGTTGTGATGAGTGGTAGGGCTGGCAGAGAAGATGAGAAGCTTAGTCTTTGAGAGATTCAGCTGGAGCACCTTCACAGCACCTTCAAGAGTCTGAGATGGAAATGAGATAAAAGAGACTGTAGTGTTAAACTTGTAATATGTCAAATGTGGCTCAAGCAGGATTACTCAAACCTACCTACAGTAAATGTAGTAGGGAATGTACCTGCTGTGACTGGTGTGCTGATCAAGTGAGTCAGTACAGGAGTAAGTAAGAGGTGATTATGGTAATGATCATAATTGCTGAACTTCACACCTTTTCCCATCACATTTTTTAATCAGTAGAGAGAGAACTTCTCAACAGTAGGTATGAAATTTGTGTATTTAACCTTCATGCATGCCTGTGAAGTGGATTTCTAATGATGCTGGCTGTTGAAGGAAACCATGGTTGCAACATCCTGTACTGTACTCTGATTCCTGCAGCTTGATCACAGGAGAATGGGCTCATAAATGTCTCCAGAGCATTGCTTAAAACTTAAGCTATCCATTAAATTATAATGGCCATCTACTCAATTACATTTTGACTTTTCTTCACAGTCTAAAAAGCCAGATGGTGATGACATACACTCATGTCATGTGAAGAGCAACATTTTGAAGACAAAAAATTCCAAGGAAAATCTCTTTCACCAGGAGCATTTGTGGACAGATCTATTCATCATCTAATGCAGGGTTCCCCAAATCTGCACCTGATGGCCAGAGTTCAATACAGAATTCAAACATCTTGATCAGCTAATTACCAGGTTTAGTAGATGTTTGAACAGGGAAATCTGCAAACTGTGTTGGATTCTGGCCATCCAGGGAGTGGAATTGGGGAACCCGATCGAATGCCTAAACAGCAGCTTCAAATATGTGTCATTTTGAGGATTAGTGACTTTTAGGAAGAAGGTCTCCAGACATCCTGGTGTCAAGATGTATATGAATATTCACCAGTGAAAAGGTGAATTTCTTTGTTCAGTTACAGTTAAAGTGTTCATTTTACCTGTTGGATATCTAGCTGGCAAAATGGTTTATGAATGATTTATAATAAGTTACATGACTTTTGCCTGCCTTCAATATACCTAATGGCAACAACACGTGAGTCATAAAGACAAGGTCTCTGAAGGTCTGCAAGCTAGTTGTTGATTCTTTGGGTTGATTCTGCTGGGTTTCAAAAGCATTTTCAATCTTGGCAGTTATATATCCAGAAGACATTGGACAGCTCAGTAGGCTGCACTGTCGTCACACACTTCCAGGATTAGCAGTTTCACTTCTGCTCTTTGTGCGCAGTTTGCACGTTTCCTGCAGTCCAAAGACACACAGTGCCCATAGTGCACTCTAAAAACTGCTGGGTTAAAAACAACCCAATTTGGGTTATTTTGGTAACCCAGCGCTGGGTAAAAAAGGGACTAACCCAACGCTGGGTTATTTTGACCCAACAAGTTGGGTCACACGTTTAACCCAGCATGCTGGGTTGTGATTTTTAACCCAACTATTAGT